AAAAAACTGAAATATGCTGTTTGCATATTTTGCATAGTGACTCCCTTCTGTGTTTTTCATAGTTTTCTTCAAACTTGACATTCAGTAGGTTATATCGGGATTCAATAGGTCATATCAGGGATGTCAAACTCATTTACCATGGCAGGGTTTGATTTTAAATGTGCTTCAGATGGGACGTATGTCACCCTCTGAATATGGTTTGTTTTTTAGCATTATTAACCACAGCTATTTAAAATATCATAGTTGTGATTATACTACATCTCTTTATAATAATATTGCTGGGCGTCTCATTAAAAAAAACATTGAAAATGCATAACCGCATGCATATTAATTTGCAGGAATAAAATGCAATTTACACTCTGCTTGAGGGACTGATAACACACACTCAGTGTCTTTGATGTTAAATATATGAAAAGAAGTTTGCCATGTTTTATAATTAGCAGTTTTAGCATTTTTAACAGGGAAACCAAATTGACAAAAGGCAATGTTAAAGAGAGGTTGTGTATAAAAAACACAAAATGCACAACACTGTTTTCTAAATATTGGTGATATGCAGTACAAACAACAGTTTTCTTCTACAACTGCTAATAATAAAAATTAATTGAAAGAATATATTAATGATTAAGAATTCAATCAGATTAGAAACGTATTATTCCTGATGCCTTACTTAGTTTGGACTATTGCATCAAAAACTGGAGCAAGTGACAAGGCTGTGTAGAGTATTGAGTTCAGGTGTGTGAGTGTAAATTAAGAATAAACTCTTCACTCATTTTTGTGTTTGTGTGTTTTGTTCCGGAATATGTGCAGAATATCTGAAACAAGGGACTTCATCTTGGGATAATGTGGTCTTTCATGTTGATCAAATGTTACAAAATCACCAATAGAAAACATGTTATTCAAATTGAATCACAGTCACCTGTGGCATGCAAATTAAATATCAGCTTTCCATTCATTTAGGCAAATAAATGTGATTTTCTCCACTTCTCTTTGAACAGTTATCTTGCAGTTTTGGTAAGATTAACGGCGGTTTTGAGAATTGGTGAGGTTGTTCTAAAGTTTAGAGGAGGGGTTAAGAGAAGTGTGTGAAAAGGTTCTGTGGCACGTTTTCCTTCCCATTTTGTGCAAAGATCCGCCCCTCAAACAAGACCTGTGACATCATCAAACAGGCGCACTCAGATTAAACAGAGGTAGAGGACCAGTGGGAGAACTGTGTATGTAAGACTGTTATGGTAGTGCCTGTTCCTAGCTTTGGCCACTCCTGCCACATGGGCTAGACAGATGGGTTTGGTTGGCTGGACCTGCCCCATGAATTGTATGTTTGACATCGATTACAGTAGGCCATTTCAACACCTTTCTCACTAATGATGCAAGTTTGAGCTTATGCAACAACCAGAGTCACTCAAGTATATCATCGTCAGTCATGAATGATTAGTTAATCTAAATGATGCCAATAACACTAAACCAATACCCACTGTTGTCTACTTTATTTAACCTAAAACCTATGCATACAGTGAAATATTTCTTTTGATACTCAGTATTGATTCAGACAGGCTACTTTTGACCACTTATTTATTTGGATTCTTGTGTACAAATTTCTTCTTTAAAGGTCCACCATTTGTTGTGCCAGATGAGACGGTTAAAGATTTATTTGGTAAGTTCAAGTGTTAAGCATTTAAGAAATGTTAAGCATCTTATAGACCCAGTGTTTCGCACTTAGATTTTCCAAATGTAAAATCTGCGTCCAGATGGAAGAAAGGTAGTTGCTTGCATGTAAAAAACAAGCTGAATTTCCACTTAGAAAACAATTCTTAAACTAGAATGTTCCAGTTCTGGATTACTGGTATTTCTTTAGACAGAGAGGTACTTGTTTTCACTGTGCTCAAATTGCCTCATCCATAATTAAAGAATTAGACTGCTAATTTGTGGGCACAGAGCACTGAGTATTAATAGCTGATGTTTATAGCACTTAAGAATATTTAAGCAATCACATTTGTTCACATGGTGAAGAATAATGTTGCCTTCAACAGCACATAGGTTTACAAAATATGTTTATAAAGTAAAACTGATAAAAATCATACCGTTGAACAACTCACATAGTATTTTTACGTCTTCAGTGGGAAGCACATGTAAATCATAGTAGAATGAGTAATGTCTGATGGTAGATAGAGGTAGGTTTGATGTAGAGGACGAGAGATGTACAGTATGTGAACACAGTGCATATATATATATATGGAGTTTTTCCATATTTAGAAAGCAGTGTGTGTAGAAGTTGATCAAACACCCTTTTCATAGCATCCAGCTAAGTCTGATATACAGGAGCAGAACATTCCATTCCATGGACATAGTGTCTGCAAAACCTTTTTTTATTTTTAGCTGTCATCCTTTAAACATTTGTGTTTTATTTTCAGGTAAAGCCTGCCACATTCAACTACTTGAGTCTGCTGATGCTTTTACAGAGAAACACAAGTCCTGGGGAATAGATTATTTAACTGAAAAAGTACATCTACTCACTTTGAAGACAAACTGAACTCTCAAGTCACTCATCAAAAGGATTTTGTTTCCATTTGATTTGTTTTGTTGCCATATATTACTATTAACTCTCTTTTTGTCCATTTCATATTTCTGGCAAAAACTTTAAAGGCATAGTTTGTTCTACTCCTATTCAGGTAGCTCTGTTGTTACATTGGAAACCAACTTTTAAGTAGTTAAAGTGCTTGGGCAACCTAGCTCACTGTGAAAAGTAGATAATGCAAGTGTTTAACTAAAATATAAGAATGGACCATATTTTAGCAAGATTTCTATATATATTGTATCAAAACATTTTTTTCTCATGTCAGAAATATACAAGTACAATTGGAAATATAAAGATATTTTACCGTAATGTTCTGTTTGATACCAAGACCATTTAGTTTTAGGTTACAGACTGTAAAATAGAAGCAGACCACATATTAATATTATTCTCTGTAACACAGAAGTGATAAAAAATGCTACATGGTTTCACTTTTAAAATAAAAAAGATCATTACTTTAAGTCCCTTAATTAATTATAGTTTTGGTGTAATTTGTTCATTTTGGTGGTTCTATACAGTATTTGGATTTTAATATTCATATTTTTTAATAGGTTTCTTCCACTAAACTCCTGGATATGGCAGTTTAGTGAAAAGGCACTGAATAAAAGTATGACTAGCCGTAGTGTTAGTGTAGTTTAGGACTCTATGCAGATAATTTAATCCGTAAGTAAGTGGAGAAGGACAACAGGGGAAAGACGTAGAGGATCAGGACCGGTTGACAGACAGGGGGGCGTGACGACGGTAATCTGGTACTCCGGGGCGGTAAACCTGGGGCAGGCTAACAAATCCAAACAGTCCAAGGGGGAAATCCGGGGCACAGTCCAAAGTCCAGGAACTGGGAGACAAGCAAGGTTAAAATCCGGAACGGGATCCGGTACAGGGATTAAAAACCAGGGTAACGAGGCCAGGCTCTCCGAGCCCCAGACTCAGACGGTCAGGACGCCGTGATGAAGCCTATGCAGTCGGGTCTCACCTGGACCTGCTGGTAGTCGGGCTTCTGGGCGTCCATCTTCCAATGCTGAGCCAGAAATAGCCAGACTTAAATAACTGCAGACAAAACAGGGGGCAGGTGCATTTATTGAACTAAAATACGAAAGGGTTGGAGCGCCCTTAAGAGGAGGGATGACAGTCGTGACAGGGAGTGATTCCTTTTAGAAATGTTTTTAGTAAGATATTGTTTCAAACGGCTAAATGTTAAAATAAAGGGGTGCTGTTTTTATATCAAACATACAGTTTGTGTGTGACTTGCTTGAATTACAAAAACATGAATAATTTCTTTAAAATTCTGTCGGACTTTCGGAAGGTACCTGTGATCTTTACATTTTCACAACAACTGTCCAGAATATGAAGTCTTACTCACTGCATATTACTGAATATTACTCACTTATTAAAATGTTTCACTGTTGGTATCATGTATATTGTCCCTCAATATTAACACAATCTTGGCAGCACTGACACATGGGGACTACAGTTTGATGTTTATCCTTTCATCCTGTTCAGTGGCAGCAAAATTGACCAGTCAAGTTGGACAGCATAACTCACCAGAATGTGTCTCCCAACATGCTGTCTTCTATGAGGTCTGTCATGGGTAACGTGCCATTCATCAGTGAATAAAACATTCCACCACAATCTGCTTAACCTGGGGTTTCTTAGCCCCAGGGAGACAGCGATTTCATCCCACGGCTTTGGACTTTACCTTTGTATGGCTTCCAAGTTCACAGATCATTTTTATGCTAAAGTCACTCTGCTGACGGAATATCTCATGCAGTAGCTATCGTCCTTCGAAAACGATTACACAGATGGATCAGATATGTGTGATGGCCCTAGGCTGTTCTGGTGACCGCCTGCCATCTAGGATGTGGGCTATCACAGAAACACAGATGGTTTCTTGGATTCTCGGCTGTTTGCTGCAAAAAAAAAAAACATTTATTGTCCAAGCAACTTCAATTAAGCCAGCAGCCACCAGGTAACCATCACTATTCAAATGAAGCATAATTTCTGTTGTTTTTGAATAGGCACTGTACTGTACGTCTCCAATGTATTCATCTGTTACATTGTAATGTAACATACAACAGCATAACTTTTCTGTAATTAGTGGTAATACATGCATATATTATGATGCATTATTTAACATTTTGGACTGGTAGTGCATTTCCAAGTTTCGTTTTTATTTGCCTGCAATCATTTTAGCATAATCACGATCGCAGATTATTCGGCACTTCATTTGCTTTTATTTGTTGCATTTGTTTGTTTCACTTTTTATTAAAAGATGAACAATTTAATGTGGTTTTCAAAACATTAGGTTGTTCATTGCAGATAATGTTTTGTCCGCACGAGTGCATCAGTTGCATTGCAGAAATAACCTTTATCACATTTTTAAATACTTATTCTTTAAAATGACCGTTTAATTTGTCAAGAACTATTTGTGCTACTGTGCTGCTTAATGTGCATGGTCAGATTTTAATAAATCCAGAACATAACAAGCGTTCTTACTACCTTTCGAAGACTATTAAACTTAAATTTGATCTGAGTAAAAACGAGAATTAAGATAAACTGAAAATATAATGAAATTTAATGTGTAATGAATTCAAACTACGTTATTTTGAGCACCACTGCGATTCCTACCATAGCGGATAATTATTTTTTGTGCATGTTTTGTACTGTTACTTATTACCCTACGGAGGTGAAATAACTGTTTTTAAATTAATAGGTGTTTGTTCCCTTTTCACAACGACCGTATTTGCACACGCAGTAAAACAGTTTTGCACGCTGTTGCCTAGATACTATCCGGCTTCATTGTACACAGACTAGGAGCCATAGTTTGTGAGATGCCGACTCTCTTGTGCCATGGCAAAAACTAAGGAAACGGTAATTATTTCTTATCAAAACGTGAAATACTCCGTGACTTACTCAATTGTTGTCATTACTAATAATTTAACATAATTAATCATACGTATGATGGAGACGAAGAAGCACATAACTGAAATTGATCCTCCGTCGATCCGCTGGTTTTTGCTTTAGGATAGGAATAACGAAAGGTGCATGAAAATGCAGGGTTTCATGATACCTAGTTTACTCTGTCGCCAGACGTTAAAACAGTGAGTAGAAACATTACGTTGACCTAAACACTCATGAAAAGTCGTACTTAAAATAAACAGAATTGGATTTTGTACTGTATGTCGCATTTTGTTACGTGACTCAATCACTCTGCAGTCGGCTGATTTTATTGCTCTCCACTGCATATATGGATAAAATATAGTTTTGTTTCGTATTGCAAAAGAAAACTCTAGTCAGAATATGCTTCGTGAGCAGAGAAAGCAAGTCTATATAGTCAGCATTTCACAATATAAAATTGTGACGTATAAAATGTGAAATATTTTTACAATATGAAAAAACAAATGGGTAAAACTGGTCATCAGTTAGTCTACACTTTAGACTAACTTTTAAAGTTCCAGCAATATGCTGCTAACCCACTGTGTGGATGCTGCTGTCCTCTGTGCCTGTCTGCAGGACTGCAACCAATTCCTGGCAGATAAACTGCAGGATAACCTCTGGTAAGAGGTTCTCCTGGGAAACAGATTACTGGAATTCATTCACAGGGATTGGCTGAACACAACACACACAGGCTGATTGGGATTTATGCCTGATAACTGGCCAGGCTATATGGAGTATTATTAAGGTTGCTGGATGGAATTTAATGCAATCAGCCTGGAAAATCAAGAATCTGTTAGATGGATTTCTTACGGTCTAAGTCTAAGCCTATCCAGAGAAAACAGTATTTTTCTGAATGATTGATGCTCCAGTTGACTTCACCCATACAATGCAAAGTTTCCAGGAACGTCAATACATTACAATTCTACTGTGTGTGTACAGTCACTGGACCCAGATACAGTACATTTCTGTGGTCTAGCCTTGACCAATCCATGTGAGAGTGCAACAGTAGGCATGTCTAGAGATTCTGTGCCAGGAACAAGCTACAGTCCAACAGACCAGTGATTGTTAATTTCTGCCTTGCATGTAGCGCACTTTAACTCCATATATGCTGTATACTGACACTACAGTATATGGTTGACAGATTGCTAATTTCTCCTTTCCATTGAAATGTCCATCAATATTTCTAAAATACTGAATTACATTACTCACATGTAGAGTGTTGTTCTTTTTTTTTCTCATTTTTCTTATTATCCTTAAACGTCAGAAATGGTGCACACTGATATTCACTTACTTACCCTACCATTTTTTCCAACAGGTTAGCATATCTACACCTGGACGCTGGCACTGGAATGATGAACTGCAAACACTTGAATTATTCAGGTTAATAAAATTAAAAAGTGCTTTAATAAGATTAGGTTAAATGTCCCTAGTATGAAATTAGCCTATTATAATTCTGGACATATACTACTAAATGTAATGTTTGTGTTCAAAGGTTTTTGCTTGTTATTGCCTCTGATAAATCAGTTATCTTGCGTATATCATATTCCCAATAATGTGAATAATGACAGACTGAACAAGGACACAATAGTGCTCTATTTATTTGATTATATAAAACAAAATGTGGCAAGAGGAAGAGTCCTGCCATGCATCCCAACACTCATTCTTACACACACAAAAGCCCTGCCCAGCAATGCATCATAATATACGTAGCATTTCTGTAAATGCTTGATTGGAGCCTGATTCTAAATTGTTCAATCCCAAAATTCAAAAACCAACTATAAAGC